GATTTTTTAAAAAAAACTTAAGAACAGTTTGGTTTCCTCATTTCGGATTTTTCTATAACCAGTGGAAATGACCTCAGAACGCAGTGGAGTCATCCACAGCTCAGCAACATGAGAAGGACCATAAAGCCAGGGCTCAGCAAACTATGGCCCGTGGGCCAAGTCCAGTCTTCTGCCGGTTTCTGTACAGCCTGTGAGCTAAAAATGATTTTTACGTGTTTTAATGGTTGGGGGGAAAAAAATCACAAGAATCATTATTTCATTAAATTATCTGAAATTCACCTTTCAATGTTCAGAAATCAAATGGTATCAGAATACAGCCATGCGCATTTGTGTACATATTTGTCTGTGGTTGCTTTCTTGCCACGATAGGGTTGAGTAGCAGCAACAGAGACTGTATGGCCCCGAAAGCTGAAACCTTTACTATCTGGCCCTTTCCAGAAAACGTTTGCCCACCATTACATTTGAGAAAGAGACTGTGGGGAGGAAGAGGTGAGGAAGGAGGAAAAGAAAAGACACTTTAAAATAAACTGATTATTGGCATATGGTTATACCTGTTGTTGTAAATGCTAGTGCTGTAGCTTCTCTGAGACCACCCCAAGGCCAGTGGCAGTCGCTCTTACTGTGGAAGGACTAAGATTTAGGCAAGAGATTAGCCCAGAACCTAAAATACAAAGAGGGATGCTCTAAATTGCAGGCGTGTGCCTGAATTTGGACAGGAAAGTATCAACCAGCAAGAGCCTTGAGGAGAAGAGGACTTAAGCAGAATACTGTCACACAGAGCACTGCCTTGCAGGTCCCTAGAGATTTTCAGACGAGGACTTGACTGGGGGCAGGGTGGAGGTGGCTGGCCGAGCCTGGGAGACGAGGCAGTAAAGAAGGGTCTGGTGGAAGGAAGCCTGAAACAATGCAGAGACGTTTGACAAAAAGCTACTAAAGAATGTGCGTTTATCTTAAAGCAGGGATCTCCAGATGGACATGGTCAGCTAAAGCAATGCTTCTCAAACTTTAATTTGCAAATGAATCACCTGGGGATCTTATGAAAACGCAGATTCTGAATTAGTAGGTCTTGGGGTGAAGCTCAGGCTCCCAAGGGGTGCTGATGCTGCCGGTCCACGGACTGCACTGAGTAGTGAGGGTGTAAAGAGGCCACACCTTTATTCTCTGACATCATTCAAGCTGCTCTTAGGAATCTGCAGTAAGAGCCGGGTTATTGGGCACACTGCAAAGTTATTTTTTCCTGCTTTATGCAGGCCTCCTTACCCACAATAGCATTGCCTGGCTTCCTGAATTTTACTGTGCTCGAAAACCTTTAGAGCTATTTCCAAACAATCATCTCCTCTCAAAAAACAAAGATTTGCTGCCATTGAGAATATTCCAACTAACTATGTAACCGCCTCCGAATGTAAGCATAATGGTGGGATTTCAACATGCTTCAGGCAACAGTAACGTTGTTAAAAAGAGTACATAGTTTTCAATAAACAATCATCATTGGGATTTTTGAGTGTAGGAGTGCTTGCAAAACACAAATAGTCTAACGTTGTACCCACTTCCCACATACTATGCGGTCCCTTGGCACGCCTGTATCACTTTTCCTCCTGTTTGAATTCCGGGGCAGGACACATGTCTAAACCCCAAGTGCCGAGAAATCTCAGAAAAGGGTTTGAGAGCCACGAATTCAGTTGCAGGAGTAGGAGGTGAGCTGTACGAGAAAGCAATAAAGCTCTCTAATTTCCTAAATCTTCCGCCACAGAAAACATGGAAAGGGGGTTGGCTGGTTTTAGCAGAGTTTTCAACCGCACAAGCCTAACTCTTTTCACCTTTAAGCACTCATTTCCCTTGCCAAAACAAACATGGCCTCCTACAACCTGTACGCGCCAAAGCATGTTTCCAGGCTTGCTGTATTTCAGACTGCGCCTAAACTCTCCTAAATACAGGGCCTTCTCCTGTATACCTTTCAAGCCAATGAAATAATATGGGCTGCATGAAGAAAATACAAAGGGTGATGATCAAGGATTCAAATGCCTACAATTTTATAACATCCGTGTCCCCTTTCCAAGACGTTTCATTCTGACTCATAGGAGTGTGCTTTTTCATCCTATATGCTCTCTGGGTACACCATTCTCACCAAGAGTCATTAAAATAATTGAATCCCAATACCCTTCAAATGCTGGAAGGAAAACCTCTATTTTCCTTCATATTAATTTTTAAATCTACTAGAAACACTTCATCCTACCAGAGTCACAAGATTAGAAAGGCACTGAAAAATATCATGAAGGTGCATGTTTAAAGACTGCTTTGTATTTTTTTAGTTAAATTTCATGATTCATTCGGGCAAATATTAACAAAAATCAAATGAGCAAAATATGCCAGCGTGGTTTTGATCACAGCGTTCACATCCTTCCTCACAAAATAAATGGAAGTATCTGACTATGAAATCACAACACTCACTTTGCTACATGTAAAACGTAATGCATAAAGAAAATGTTTGCCCAGTACAGCCGGATCCTCCAGCCACCGGAAGCCACTTTATACCCACTTTGCATTATGGACTATACGTCTCGTGCTTGGGTGTTCTTATTCATTCCGCGTTCTAAAGAAAAGGCTCCTTTCCCGTTTGCGTATTTAATAGAAGCTAAAGACACACCACCTACTAGCACGTTCAAGCAGCACCCCCCCCGCCCCCACCTGCATCCTGAGAGGTTTGCTAGAATGAAGCACAAGGAAGCTTAACAGCACCCGCCCTGTTCTCTGGCCTTGCCGCCCCACTTACCTAGAAAGAGGATCGTGCCCAGCACCAGGGTGCCACCAATGAACACAACCAGGGCGATTTGAGTACCTCTGTTGGTGGTTTTTCCAGGCTCCGTGCTGCTCCCCATTTCTGCCTCCATCAGGAGGGAAGCAGAGGCCACGTGAAGAGAAAGTCACTTTTTGTGGTTTGGTGGCTGGTCTCAAGAGTCTCTGAGGCGTTGACATCCAAGGTTCTCTTGCTCTTCTACTAACAGACAGCTTTAAAAAAATCCCGTCAGGAAATCTTCCCTCGCTACCCTTTCTCAAATACTTCTTCACAAATGAAATAAAGAAACCCAAAATATTGGTTGCCTTGGCTTTTCCCCTGACCAGACAAAACAAACAGTGGTTGCTTTATCTTGGTGCTCTCCCCCCAGCAAAGTCCCTCTCAACCGATTGTTTGGCAGGCTCTTCTCTCAGGCGTCCTGAGTGTACATGTTTTACTATGTTGCTGAACAGATGTTTTGGCTATTTAAATGTATAGTCACTTAGGGAGGAAAAAAACAATCGTCTTTATCAAAACTGGATTCTCATCAAACTCTCCCAAACCATGATAAGTTAGGTGGCCAGGATTCTCCGGACCCGCTTTAAGGTCTCAATGAATCACGTAATTCTTTTGCCATAATCATTCTGCTCGCCTGAACTGTCCCCATCAAAGATACTGTTTCTGTGTGCAAGTCCCCTTTTAAAGCCCTCTAAGAGTTCCTGGGATATCCTGGAGCATTTTATTTTAGGAACTTTGTGTATGACGACATGTGCCAAAAATCAGAGTCCCAGTCCAGTGCGGTGCAAAGTAGCAATTAAGACAACCTACAGAGGCCGATGGTTTGGACTGGAACTTTTTTTGAGGAAAAGGAAAAAGCATTTCCTCCCTGTGGTGCTAAGAATTGTACAGAAGATGGGTAAGTGATCAAATTCAACTTATTAGCAACCGCGGAAGAGACAGTAAAAGATTTTTTGCTTCCCTGCAGGTTTTGATGGAAAGTGCCCGCAGGTATTTTGTCCTCCAGTCCCACCGAGGGAGCCATCGGTTAGTAGTTGTGTGTTTATATAAAATGCCCATTTCAGCAGACTCTGCAGGGTAAAATCAAAGGCAATTCACTTCTCTGGAAAGATGGACTTAATGACTGGGTCTTTGATTTCTTTAATTATGCTAATAATTTCAATTATGACAATCTGCTTCATTCATGGGAAAGGGTAACTGAGATCCTAATGCTATTGAAATGACATCGATTTTTTATCCAATGGTATAAATATCATTAATTCTTAACACCATTCCTACTTAATCTGCTTTTGTTTTGCTGTAGGACATAGGGCAGTGGGGGCGGGGGTGGAGGATTCGTCTGAAAACCAGTAGAGTGCAGTTCTCATGCAACACTTGTGCCCGTGGTCTTGTGTGTCACACCAGAGCTGGCAGACGCTGTTGAGCCCACTGTAACATGGCCACATGTCCATGGTCCTATCCGGCTGGTCTTGGTCAGGCCTTACATCCTTAGCATGGGATTCTTCCAACGTTTATTCCAAAACACATCCTACCTGACTTTCTGCTTATTTGATGTTGTCCCAAAGCCAAACACGCATAAGCCTTTGTCCAAAGTATGACGTCACAGTACATTGTAGATAGTAATGTGCTCATTAGCTGTTGATGTTATTCTGTTGCTGTTACACCATAACACATCTTAGCAGGCCTTTGGCTCCTAGGATGGGATTCTCAGAAGAGTTTTTGGACTTGACTCGATAGTACTTCTTAGACTGTGAGCTCCAAGAAGTCAGGAATCATGTCCATCAACTTCAGTGCTACAGCCCCAGCACCGACAGTTCCCGGCCCCGTAACAGTGAAGGGAGAAATAAGAACGATGAAAATCAGGCAAGTTAGCTCCAGGCACTCACACTTACAAAGCAACTTCAGGAAGCTCAGACGCTAGTGTCTGGGGGGTCTCTCAGGCTCCTAATTCCTTCTAAATGCTCAAATGATAATGATACGTCACAAAGGTGTAGCACTTTGGTATCCCATTTTAACCTTACGGTAACCTTATGTGCTTGACAGCAAAGATATCTTTTATCTCAGGTTTGCAAATGAGAACAGAGACCCAAGGCCCAGCCTCAAGTAGCACAGCAAACTCAGGAAAGGGAAAGGTGGCGAGAGAGGATCACTGCCATACATGGTCTGCTTGACAGAGGTCCCTGTGCACGTGGGAGGGGACATACACACAAACGTGGCACCAGGACCCAATTCTTCCCGCTTTCCTTTCTTCTCTAAGTCTCCTCACACCCTCCGGGTCCAGACTAGCATGCAGCGGTGGCTGCTGGTGGGCGGCTTGAGGACCCTTCACCCACCTTTGAATGGTGATTTCCACAGAGGTGAGGGCAATTGGAACTCACCCTGATCTATGCCTATCCATCACTTAATCACATGAAATCATTCCTGAACTCTCAACTGCGGAGTGAAAAGCCATTAAGCCAAAAAAGACTTTTCTTAATTGTGATAGGAAAACTACGATGCATTCCATCCCAAACTAAGATATACAAATGTAGAAAGAAAACATATTAATTCAACAATGAAAACAAGTCTATAAAAGTAATAACTTTTGAGGTGTTGAAAATAAATACACTTTGTTCCGGTAATGCGAGAAGTGAAGTTTTATTCTACTCACCAAAGGAATAAGGAAGACCTGCGAGTCGGTGAAGACTGGCAGGCGAAATGATGCCAGTTGAATCATTCATTAGGAGCTGCAGTCCTCATTCTGTGCCATTTTCTGCATTAATTTTTCAACCTTTTGGGAGACGTTGATTATCTTTCACTCAAACTGCAGTGAAAAATACATTTGTAGCACAGAAGAGGTGCCTGGCTGGCTCAGTCAGTGGAGCATGCAACTCTTGGTCTCAGGGTTGTAGGTTCAAGCCCCGCATTGGATATAGAAATTACTTCTAAAAATCTTAAAGAAGAAAGAAAAGAGTTATAGCTCAGAAAAAGCTTAGGGCAAAATAAGGCAGTTCCAAGTACAGAGAAATATTCTATATGAGTGCTTACAAGAGACAAAAGCAAGGGTTTGCAAACTAGGGCACGTGGGCCAAATCTAGCCCACTGCCTATTTTTGTAAATAAAGCTCTATGGAAATAAAGTCACCCCCATTCGTTTACATACTGTCTGCGATGGTTCCATGCTACAAGGTCAGAGTTGAGTAGTTCTGCAACACAGATACGTCCCATGAAGCTCACTTACTCTCCAGCCCTTTACAGAAACCCTGGACTCAAGAGCGATACAAGATATGGCCTCTTCACCTCGCCTCCACGGCACACATACACAAAGCAGTATTTCACCCACACTGGATGGCTTCTCAAAACTATTCCACTTGATGTTCTCCGGAAACAAGCTGACCAATAAGGGAAATTGGTCAATGTGTCTTTGTCGGAAATTGTATTAAAACTATGGCATGTTACTTAGTGTGTTTTGGGGTAAAGTGTTATTCTGGAATAAAAAAGGAGGATGTCAAAAAAATTTTATAATTTCTCAAGAGCCATGAAAATTAGTTAACTGAAAAGTCACTCTGCAGGGAAGTCTGCTTAACAATATGGGTGCACCAAGTCAGTTGTTTCCATTTAAAAACCTTCAGGATTCGGGAGCCTGGGTGACTCCATCAGTTAAACGTCTGACTCCTCATTTGGGCTCAGGTCATGATCCCAGGGTCACGGATTCCAGCCCTGTGCTGAGCGCGGCGGTACCTGCTTAAGATTCTCTCTCTCTCCCCCTGCCCCTCTCCCCTGCTCACACAAGTTCTCTCTCTAAAATAAATAAATAAACACATGAATATTAAAACACACACACACACACACACACATTTTAAAAAGAACATCCAGGACTCTTGAGCTTTACCTAGAATCGGTCGATGGAATCAGTAGAAATTTCTTGAGTATTTTTCAGGTGCCTGGCCCCGTACAAGGCCCTGTGAGGGAAGACAAAGAAGCCCTGCCAGAGAGTCCAGACTGGCAAACTGGGCTCAGTCACACAAATATGCAAAACCCTTGGCAACTTAGTTACAGAACACTAAAGGCCAACAAGTGTCCAGAGGAATAGAAATCCCTGAATGACAGATTTGTTGGGAAGACTTCCA